CCCCCTTCCTCTCCCACATGGTCTTCTGTTAAGTTTCACAAGATCCACATGTGAATGAAAACATACGGCATCTGTCCTTCTCTGCCTGACTTATTTTGCTCAGCATAACATGCTCCAGTTCCACCCACGTTGCTGCAAATGGCCAGCTTTCATTCTTTCTCATTGCCAAGTAGCATTCCATCGTCTAGATGTACCAAATCTTCTTATTCCACTTATATCTAAATCATTTGCTCCCAGAAGTATGTTTACATTATCCACAAAAACTTCATGAGACATCTGACAAAATCAGCCATCACTGTAGATTATTTGTGCCAGTAAATTACAACAGATAACATGAATAGAACTAGTAAATTCGGGTAGAATAAAACGTGTTCAACTGCAACTCTAAACACAGGACTATTTTAATTAAACCAACAAACTTAAACTAACTTTACTTAAGATTATCCCAGGTCACGTGAACTTGGAAAACATTTGGGTTAATTTCTGTTCCGTCTGTGAGAAGTTATATGAATGCCAGTTTATAGAAGGGCCTGTTTGTTTGGGACCATTGAAGAGAGCTCTTTGATGACACTTGACAGTCCTGTACGGAGACAGAGAGGGGCACACGTCGACGGCACACACGTGTAGGAACGCATGGACATATAGACGGACGAAAACCAAAACCTCAGAGCTTCTACTTTGATGCTGTTGCCATGAACAAAACCCACTCATTATAAAAGTGGGATTTCCAATTTGTTTTTCTGGTATTTGGAACAAGTTAAGGGTTACCTGCTAGGTGGTTAAAGAGTTTTCTACTAATATTTGTGGAGAAGACACAAGATCTGTATTTGTCCTCGACAAGTCCAGTTCCAAAAGACCTTTCCCCTTTTTGTTTTTTTCTTGATAAGAATTACCAGCCTCAAATTTGCATTTTAAGGAGATGGACCAGATAAGATCCCAGAAGAGAGCAAGTAGATCATTTACCATTTCAAAGGCACAGAGATAAAATGGGTTCCCTAAGGCCAGAGTTTTACAATACTTGCAATCTTGTGTGAGATTAAATAGGGAGGTTTTAGAATTGGTAAGAGAAAAATCTCTGAGTGGACTTTGAATTCTTCCTGGAGCTACACCTGTGGTCCTACAAAGACTAGATTTGTACAAGGCCAACTGTTCTATTAATTCCTCAGAGAACTGGGTTGTTGCCTGAGTGGTGGGAAGGACTCACACACACACACACACACACACACACACACACACACACACACACCCCTGTGTTGGAACGATTTCTTTCCCTCTGGGTACATTTAAGCTTAGCGGGGAGGATTGCCAAAAATAAATCCTAAAATAACAAAAAATAAAAAGCAAAAATAATACACACACACAGACCCACGCACACACACATACACTATAAGGTTGTGAGGATCAATGAAGAACAAAACTTCAACTGAGTAAATGTGAAGATCTAATTGCCCTAGTTAAGCACTTTATGAGCCAGGCAGCATCCCATTTAGCGGGCAGAGGGGAACTCTGAGGAGGTGTGCAAAATGGAAGGTTTTCCCAGGAAGGAGGGAAAGAAAGGGGCAAGAAAGTTATTAGCAAAAGAAAAGGACTGATGGGGGCAAGGTCACCTTCCCTGAGCAGGAAGGGCAGGAGGTCAGGAAATGAATGACCTCAGCTCCCTTTGGGGAGGAGGGGAGGCTGGAGAGGGCCCATGTGATGGTTTACTTCACTGAGGTAGAAGATTCCTGGCTGACCAGTTAGGAGAGGATTTCTGGGGAAGGCAGAAGCTGCAGTCAGGGCAGGGGTGAAGTCCCAGTTTGTGGACTTGTCCTAAATGACATCATGTTGGGCCTGTGGTTTTCTTTTTAACAGTTCACAACCTGGCTGTCGGCCTATCTTGGCTTCTGACGGGTCTTCTTCTCTGAGCTTGGTCATTTCTAGCTTTTGGCTGAAAGTGAGAGATGTGACTCTTCCTGCCACTGAACTCCCAGAGGTCACTGAGGGTTGTTCACTGGGCTGATCTCAGCGCTGCTGGGTCTCACAGAACAGGGAGGTGGGTGGGCGGGGCAGTCAGAACACAGGCAGCATTTAAGGACTGAGACTGCGGCATCCCCAAACCATCCCTTCAGTAACGTCAGAAATCACTGCCGACCACAGTAACAAACAGAGGAACAATAATGAAAAAGCTCAAAACCCTGTGAGAATGACCACAGTGTGACAAAGACAGCAAGTGAGTGGATGCTGTTGGGAAAGCGGCCCTGACAGACTTGCCTGAGGTGCGGTTGCCACAAACCTTCCGTCTGTAAAAAATACAGTATCTGCAAAGCACAACAAAACAAGGTTTGCTCGTACGTATCCCAGGGCCTACTTTTTGGTAAGCACTCAATGCAAAAGAGCTCCTTCGGAGGCGCATCCCTCTGACTCTCCTACTCAAGGATCCACAGCGGCTCCTACTGCCTGTCATGTCCCCCTGGATTCCTCACTGAGGCGGGCTGTTGTGAATCATCACACCCTAGACCTAACCTACCTCTCAAAACTCAATTCCCACTGATCCCAAAGGAACATCCTTTAATTCAAGCACTCTTGTTTTTCTCTCCTTCCTAGGACTCTGGCCTCGGCATTTTGTTTATATTAATCTCGTCACTGGGTTGTTCTGGTCACATATTTCTACTCTTAGTAGATAGATAGATAGACATGTAGATGTTAGACACATAGACAGACAGATAGGTGCGAGACAGACACATAGATAGATTGAAACACAGATACACAGAGAGATACATAGATAGATGCTAGACAAAACACAGATAGACAGACAGATATTAGACCCATAGATAGATAGATAGGTGATAAATAATAGGCTTTGAGTCAACCAAACAAATTATACCACATACTCATGGACTCTGCTATTGAGAAGGAGACTTGTCCACTCTAGGTCTCCATGTTTTGATCTTTAAAACTGAGCTACTAGTAATAATTTTCCAGCATTTCTGAGTGGGTGAAAGAACCTACTTCAGTCCCTGGAACACAGAAAGGTCTCAGGGTAGTTGTCTTCTCTCTCCTCCATCACCATCCCCAAACCACCCCCCTCCTGCTGCCCCAGACGGGTCCGGCCAGCCTCTGCAAGCCTCCCTAACTGCTTCTGGTCATCGGGTCATATTTAACTGGCTTTCTCACAGCGCTTTTATCTATGCTCTCGTTTATTGTCATTGTAGTTATTCTCATTGCTTCTACTTTATCTCTCAAGTTATCTTTGTCTCACAGCAGCAGGTGCAGAGTCCGTCCGATCCTCTGAGTCTGCACGCCACACTCCCAGGAGCAGGGAGGCGGGGAGAAGCACCCCCCCCCCCCACCAAGGAGCCGAATGGGGAGGAGCGCTGGCCTCTCCCCTGGGCTCCCCAGCCCGTGCTCGCTGAGTCTCTGACCCTGGGTCCTCTCAATGTAACAGGAAATCCATGCCTATGTAACCGTCTAACTTACACACTTGTTATGACAGGACACGAGATTAAAAAAAAAAAAAACCCAGAAGCATTTTACAAAACCATATATTTGGGCATGACCTTGCTTCCAGGTCACAGCCATGTGCATGTGGCCATTCCACCCTGAAAAGAATATGAGCCCACCCTCCCCATACGGGAGAGAAAAGAGGAGCGTAGAGGTGCACAGCAGCGTTTCCAAGATCTACATGGAAGTCCACCCCAGGGCTGTGAGACCTCAAAGTCCTTGGTGACAGGATGCAGGAGAGGGAACTTTTTGACCAAGAAAAAAATAAAAGAATATGTCATAGCTGGTGAGTGCTGTCACCGAGATGCGTTCATCATGAGGTCCGAACAGCTTCACAAAAATCAAGAAGAATACATTTTGGAGAGCCCTGGAGGGTATGTGGCTTTCTAAGTGTCGTAAGGGGCACAGGCGGAGTACAGGCCCAGGGACCTTCTGTCCCCTAAGCTGTCCCCCGTCCTGGACACTGGTGTCGGAGCACAGCCCGGCGAGCACCGGCGACTCTCACATGAGCAGCGGTAAATCATATGTTCCACTGATGACTGGGCTGCTGCAATTAATTTATTTTACAAGGATCTTTTCTATGTAATACAATTTACTAGGTACATGTCTTTTTTTCTTTCTTTTTAGTTTATTTATGTATTTTGAGAGAGAGTGCGAGCGAGGGGACGGGTGGAGGAGAGACGGAGAGAGAAAGAATCCCAAGCAGGCTCTGCACTGTGGTTCGAAAGCTCAGTCAGAGATTCTGAGTCCACGGCCGGACTTGGAGCTTCTACTGTGTCCCTAGACTCAGAGCCAAGGAAGAGCCATAGGAGAGAAGACATTTGGTTCCGGGGAACAATGATTCCATCCCTAAAAGCAAACCTGCGTCCCAGGAGCACAGCCCGGCGCTGCAAGGGGGGCGCAGGGAGCGTGGCTCCACTTCCCCAGATGCTCTGGGCTGAGAGTCTGTGTCGTGCCCAGAACCGCACGCGAGACCCCAAGGCCCAAGCTGACGTGCTGGGAGGTGAGGGCTTTGGAAGCCGAATAGGTCACGGGGGGCAGAACTGAACGGGATTGGGGCCCTCAGAAAAGAGGCTCCAGAGAGCTCCTCTTCCTGCGAGAAGTCAGCAGCCTGAGCCCCAGCAAGGGGCCAGCACCTCAACGCCAGTGGGTGCTGCGGCCCTGACCCCGGACCGGAAGCGTCTGGAGCTGTGACAGGCAGGCCCCTGGGGTTGACCCGCCGCCCAGCGTGTGCCCTTCCTTTCCAGCGGCCAGAAAGGACTAAGTGAGGTGCCAAAGCAGAGGGTCTGCACCCACCATACGAGTTCAACGTGCACACACTTCCCCACGGGCTCCTGGCGCTCCAAGCCCCTCTCCCTCCCACCCCGACCTCCCAGCACTAGGGGAAGAAACCCCCAAAGCTACGCTCCCCGGTGCAGTCCACAGTTTCCGAGAACTGCCTGCCTCTTGAAGGGGCGGGGGTGGGGGTGGGGGTGTGGGCGGAAAACACAACAGGATGCCAACGGGTGAGCAGTGGCTATTTCTCAACATGTGTACACACCCTGCTAAAAGGAAGGTGGACCGTGCTTTCGCTTTCACACCACACGCCAGCGGGGCTGACAGAGAGGAGCCATGGCCGGTGAGTCTTGCACGGTCTCCACAGGGCAGCTCTTGGGGAGATCAGTTCTGGCTTTTAGTTCTGGGGGTGTTCAGGTGATCAGAACAGAGAGGCAGGGGCGGGGGAGGGCACAGGGAGAGGGTTCCAGATAATTCCACAGCCTGCAGAGAAGACAGGCGAGAGCCAGAAGGGAGCCAGGGCTTTGCTGGATTCCTGCGGTCCTGCCGTCCTAACTGGATTTGAAGGGCCGCAGTCTGTAGAAGGTGCTGGATCGGCCCAGGATGGGCACCACGGGAAACGCGAGAACGGAGCGCTGCTTCTTTATCTTCCCGTGCAGGGCTGAGTCAACGCAGGGCATGTCAGGGTCCCGCCAGGTTTCCCGGTGGGAATGCAGGGAGTCGGTGTGGTTTCGGGCGGCCCAGGGCGCGCCGGGCAGTGCCAGGCACAGCGCGGGGTGTGCGCCCGCAGCCTCCCTGCTCCGTGTGGAGGGGCGTCCTAGGATTACAGCCCAAGCAGGCCACCCCTGCCGCCGACTCAGAGGCCGTCAGCCCGTTTTCATGACTTGAGGCACCCTTGTTCTCCAAACAGACAAGGTTCTGAAGAGCAAGCGGAAGCAGTTCATCAACTCAGTGGGCATGGGGACGCTCAGCGGCCTGCTGGATGAACTCTTCCAGAACAGCGTGCTGAACCAGGAGGAGATGGAGAGAGTGAAATGCGAAAACGCCACGGTCATGGATAAGGCCCGAGCTCTGATCGACGCCGTCCTGCGGAAAGGGCCGCGCGCGTGCCAGCTGGTCATCTCTCACATCTGTGAAGAGGACACCCACCTCGCAGAGACGCTGGAGCTCTGCTCAAGTAAGCGCCAATGACTCAGACCAAAGCTGGCACAGGCCCCGTGTGCCCGACACCGGGCTTCTCCACTGCTCCCGTCAGTTTGCGGACGACTTCCTTGTTCTGGCTCCGCAGCCCCATTTCTCTATTCTGTGTCTCCTGCTCCCTTTTTGCTCCTGGCCTCAGTAGACTTCTTTGGATTAAAGCTCATTCCCCACCCTGAACATGTGGTGGCTCATTTGTTTAAGTTCATGAGAACAGTCTGAAAAGTTTCAGGCTGTATTCTCCAGACATCCTGCCAAGGCAGTGAATCAACCAGTCTCTCCCTCCCTCTCCCTCTGTCTCTCTCTGGTTAAAGTCCAGGGGACTTAAGTAGTCATCAGACATAAGGACTTTGGGTCGGCCATCAAGTACACTTTATAGCCTCTCTCCAAAACTCTGCTCTCCAGGAGGAATAAAATATATTTCAGCAACGGGGGAACGCTCAGAGAGTAAACTCAGTGCTTACAGAAAAGTACAGATTTTCAAGGGACTCTGTTAGTTACCCCCTCGCGTCTTGTCCTGAGCAAGACTGTCCACTGGCGTGCCACCAGGCTACGGGCCATTCTGTGAGCCGTCCGCAAGCCCCACCCCCAGGCCTTCTGAGGGTCCAATCCTGGGCTCAGACCTCTGAGCGGCTCCTCCTGTGGTCACTTAGTCCCTCCCCACAGCAAAGACAGGGGCTCCAATGGAGTCCAGCCCCTGGTCTCTTTTGCATGTGCCAAAGCCAGTTAGAAAGAGATGTTCTTTGAAAATGAGAAGCCTTTTTTCCTAGGGCTTGGGGGAAGCCTGTGCCTGCTGAGTGATCTAGCAAGCATTCACTGGGGGTAACAAGTTTCTCATTCATCCTTCAGTAACACTTTCATTTAACATACCCCCCAAATTAGAGATGGCCAATAAATAACAATAAGGGTCTAGGATACTTTTAGAATAGCCAGGTCCTCATTCTGTCCCATTCCTTTCCACTCATAGTCCGTGAACCCTAGAGGCACCTGTATAAGTCACCGTGACACTCCATGTGTGGGGCGGTACCTTTCAAGTTATCCCATGGAGCCTCCTCAGTGAGGGGTGTGGGACTTTGTCTCCCCCTCATCTCTCAGCCGATCTTTTTAGGTCCATGGAATATGACAATTAGATGTAATATCTGGGTGCACTCTAATGGGAGAGATCCTTCTAAGAGAAATTTCTTGGTCATAAGAAGGCTGAGTTGCTATTGCCATAAAAAGGCCTCCTCCAGAAAATGCTCTTGAAGTTACTGATGGCTCGTTTACTCCAGCAGTCCAGATGGGAGGGACGGGTCAAGTGCAGCATGCTGTCTTTGGCTTGAAGTTTGATGGGGTTTCCTGGGGTTTTCCTCCCTTCGCAGCAGGGGAATGAATGGACCATAGTTTCTATATGGAAATCTGGTTTCCAATAGGGACCATGAAATGAAGACTTGGGAGTACTTCTCATTTGTTAGCTTATGCCAATTCTTAAAGTTTCCGGGATAAGCTTCTCAGGTGGCTGTTGTTGTACTGAGATCCTTATAAAACCTCAAACAGATTTAAATTAAATTCTGGTCCTTAAACCTGGCAATCATAAAAGTTACCAAAGAGGATTTATTGCAGTGATTTTACTCAGCCTGATACTGCAGCGGAGGCTCCCCAGCGTTTCCCTGCGTGGAGTGTGGCTTATGTCCCCTCGTGGCAGGTGCGGTTACAGGGCGGTGCTCAGGCATCCTGGCGCTAGCGTCCCCAGGCTGTGCCCCTCGTGGGCGGCAGAACAGTATACTTGATAAGAGCCCATGGATGATACTGAAGACAGGCTTGCATTCACGTCCTGGCTTGGCCAATCTGCTGTTCTATGACGCTTGGGAAACAGACTTAACCCTGATGGAAGGTCGATGAGGAGGTCACCTGTCCTCGTTTTCTGCTGTGGCCAGTCTTGGCACAGCTAAACGTCCAGGTGCAGATGCCTGCCCATTTCGGTGATCTCTGAAACCCCGCCCGTCTCGGCCGCAGACACTGTTGCACACGCTTGGCAGGCAGTAGGGTTCACCCCAGGAGCCACCTTGAGACCCAGGAAGTAAGAGACTTCGTGACTCTACACGTGATGCTGCCTCAGTCCCGCTTTCATTGTAGAAAGCAGAAATGGAAGAGCCACTTCCGGATTCCCATTCATTCTGTCACCCAGGTGCCCGGGCTTTGGCTTCTTGGTGATGAGTGTGGTTCTCAGCTAGTCCTTTCTCGAACAGGCCCGCGGAGGCACTTCCAAAGAGGGTGTCCAAGACATCGGGCACAATTCTTGAGAGATGATAAGTGACTATTTTAACGTTCTGAATCTTTCCTCAGGTTCGCGGTCTGGAAATTCTCTCACGGACTCTGCAGCAGCGGTTTCTCCTCTTCCAGGTAATGGTATTTGCAAAGCAAGGACATCGAACTGCATCTTTCCTGATGTGAACTATAGGTCCACGGGATGGCCCCAGGGTGAGAGGGCAATGGGTAGTTCTCATGGATTGATCTGATGCCTTGTTCTCAATCTGTGTGCCTTCACAGAGGCTGTCTCCATTGCATTACTGCCATGTTTATGCCAACAGATTCTAAATCCGTGTCCCAAACCCGACTGCCTGCTTGAACACCACACTGCCCTGTTCTCGTGCCTACTGAACACAGGCTCTCCGGACTCTATGTGCCCCGGGCTGAGCTTGTCCCCCTGCCCCCCACTTTGCTTCCCTCCAGTTCCCTCTGTCCCAGTTAATGGCACCACTCTTGCTCAGTTATTCACAACAAAAACCCGAAATTATCTTCAGTTCTTTCTTTGTCCTCACTTCCAACATTCAAGAAGTGGCCAAGCTTACAGATTCCTCTCTCAAATCCAGATCCTTCTCTCCACTTTTATCTCTATTACTCTATTTCTGAATCCCTTTTCCTATGGTGACCTATGATCCTTCAGCCGTTTAGTGCACTTTTCTTGTCTTAAAAAAAATAGAGCCATCCTTCCCGCCACCCCCCCAACCGTGGACTTTCAGCTTTATGAGGGCCTTGGAAGTGTCTGATTCTTCATAGGTATGAAGCCATCACAGGAGCTGACCTCAGTATGCATGCAGTAAATGTCTATGAAAATACTATTTTACTGAATAATTAAATCAAAATCGCTAGCATGCCAGGTCATTAGAAAAATATCTGACAGATGCCAAGTGTGTCACAGATCTTGCTCTATGTACTGTATAGAGAGTAAGAAACATGGCAGGCAAGGTTCCTGCTTTTACTGATCTTATAAAAATACATGAAATATGAAAGAATAGGTATTTAAGAATGAAATTAAAAGCTAGCCAAACATCTGGGGATGGAAATGACACTATATATACCCATGTCAGCAAAAACAGACAGAATGCTCCCCCACACGGTAGTGAGGTAACCTGTTGTCAGCCTAATCTGCCATACTGAAAGGTTAGTCATCAGATTATCTTCAATCGAGAATTCTTACCGAGACAAGATCTTTAGAACATGAGGACTCTGGATATATTCGCTCATTTATTCATTAATTGATACATTCAGGAGGTATATACAGGTGTGTACATATTTTAAGCACAAAGATGTGGGAATGAGATGTGGATTCAGAGACATAGTGCTTTTACCAAGGAAATTAAATACAAAGGAAAGAAAAGAACCTACATTCTGGTGGAAAAAAATGTATGGCATCAGGCAAAAGTGTGGACTTGGAGCAGATATTACAAATAGGCCATCACCATTACTGTGAGAAAGGGAAATGTAAAAGCAGTAGGTGGCCAGGAAGTTAGCATTAGGCCCCGTGTGACAGAAGAGAGAGATGAGGAGCCCCTCTCCCCATCTTAGGTGGTGATAAATCATTAAACACCAGCCAGTGGGCCCAGTGTGAATTTGATGGGCCGAGAGGACCGCACAGGTACAGTGCAAGAGCACAGGTACTTTATGCGGTAAATGGTAAAAGAGTCAGAAGGCATTGTCAGGTGTTATTTCCCATAATGGGAAACCTTCTAGAGACAGGGCAAGACTCCAAGTTGTGCCCGTAGTTGAAGGAGTCTTTGTATTTCCTACAGAAGACAAACACGACAAAAACCCACTTAAGACTTTGGAATCTGTGGGCAAAGAGCTCCTAACTGACTTTTTGCAAGGCTTGGTGGAGAAAGATGTCCTGAAACTGGAGGAAGCAGAAAAGAAAAAATTTCATGATGCCAAAGCTGGAGACAAGCCCTGGGTCCTTCTGCACTTGGTGCGGGAAAAACGCAAGGAGGCAGGTCAAGCCTTTGTCCAAACTTTCGTTAATACGGACAAGCGTTCCACCAGTGTGGAAGGTAAACCGAAGTCACGTACATGGGCGCCTCAAACGCTCCAGAGTCTACTCCCCTCCCAGGCCCTCCGGGTGCTCTATAGCTCTGCCGTCCTCCATGACTGAAGTGCAGTGTTCGCTCAGCCTGTCATTGTCCTTTCCAGGGCCATCTTGTCTTTTGGGGGAGGGGATCCATTCCCAACTAGCGGAGTCTAGAAGCGGAGTCTTTACACTTACGTTGCCCTCAGAAAGAGCTAACAGTGGACGCTGCAGTGAAGGGTACCTGAACTTGAACCCAGGTGCTGTCACTATAGACATCCTGCTTTCACTCAAGCTTCTTGATGTCCCTGGGCATCTCTGAAACGGTGACAATTTCGGTAACCTCTTCAGAGGCCAGGGACATCACGGCAGGCACAGGCTGACGACTCCTAAGAGAGTTGCTCTTCTCCAGACTTCCCTTCTGAGCTACAGATACATTTAGCCCTAGCTGCAAGGTCAATATTGACGCCTGAAGATTCCACAGACTTCACAAAACAAACACCTATAGAGCTAACACCTGATTCCTCCCGCCAGCTCTGTTCTGCTTCTAACCTCTTTCCGACTCATTAGACAGGATTATAATCCACCAAGTCTCTTCACCCAGAGCACAGGTGTGTTCTTCACGAGGGAGTGATAGCTCTGAGCAGAGTGCTGGCCACAGAGCAGGCATGTAATCAACGCAGGATGAATACAACCAGTGAAGAGTATGCAGGCAGCAAACACGACTTATCACAATTATTATTTTGCTTCTGCTATTTAGACCTTTCTAGTGCTCACTCATTTCTGTAAGTTACAAAATAGGATCACGAGAACGCCTGTAACGTGTCCAATCTATGAAGACATTTTAAAGCTTCTGATCTAGATTGAACTATAAATATTACTAGAGCCTAAATATCCTCGGGTCCAGGGTCACTAGTGGCACACTTAATTTACTACAGAGTTTAACCTGAAATCCTAGCCCAGAATATTAGAGTTTATCAATACTAATAATAAAAATAAGCAATAATAAACAAAAGACAAAAGAAATCGTAGAGACCTCACTATAGCAAATGAGCTTTTTCAAGAAGGCCTTTCTGGAAGAGAGGGTGTCCCTGAGCAGGACGCACATGCCAGTCTGACGGATGTCAAACATGGTGGCCTGGGCCATGTCCTCATTAATATTTAAGTTGGTCCTTGGGCAGTTTTATTACTCTCTTAAATCTGAGATGGAATGGCAACAATGTAGATTAAAAAAAACAGAGATAATTCAGCAAATGGAAATCAGAACTGACGTAACGGGAGCTTCAGAATAATTTTAGCAATGCCGGGCATCACGATGCACATCAGACGGAAAGTGCAGCAGGCGGTCAGCAGAGTTCGCGGCAGGCAGGAGGCAGGGACCGGGGCTCCCTGCCACCCCCCCCCCCCACGGAGCCCCTCCCAGAACACAGGTGGGCGGTGAAGTGGGATGAGCAGAGCTCCAGGAAGCCGTAAAGACCTTGGCCAGGCCTTCTGGACACTGGCAGGGTTCTGCGGGTTCCCAGCGTGGTCCTCAGGGGGTGCGGTGGGGAGAGGAAGACCCAAGCTACTCGTTCATTTCACATAACACACTCATACCTGGGCTCGCTGACGTGCCACACACCGCTATTCCGAGACAAAAATAACTAGTGGGGTCCCACCTCCCAAAGGCTTTGCCTTACCTGGTACCAGTCTCTCTCTTTTTGTAGCAGTTTAAGGGGTCCCTTGAGCATGTCCTTAAGTAACAGATAAGACAAACACAGTGAAATTTTATCTAAGCTCTTAATTCTCTCATTTCTTTCCATCGCGGTGCCATGCGAGTGGAACCCCCTTTGGGAAGCAGCCTGCGCTATAATATTTATTATGTTGGAATGAACAGATTCATCTCCACACCAACCTTACTATTTAATGTGAGATGGAAGTCCTATCCATTCCCAGTTTCATCTGCAAACACAGTATCTAATCGTAGATACATGGAGGTCATTAAGAGCTGACATTTGTTAAGCGAGAGTGTTCGCCAAACCTGGACACAATCTGGAAACAGAGAGCACTTTTGATGAGAAAATGTACTCTCTGACCAGAGAGTATCCCAGGACCCTGGATGTACTCTCACTGGAGGAATCTTCTGGAATACAAAGGAAGAGCATATGTCACTGCTCAAGAAAGGTTCAGAAAGCTGAGTTTCCTTAAAGACTTGTAATTTGCTGCCTCTCCATTGCACAGGTTTTTAGCACTTAGAAAGACATTTATCAAAAAAATATTATTTAAAAACTAATGGAAACAAATGAGCGAAATAGGAAAAAATCTGTAAAATATAAACAACTGAACATTTTATAGAGGATACCACTGTCTTTCTCATTTAAATAAAAGAAAATCAGAGAAGTTCTTGCTTCATGTAAGTGAACACAAAGGTTTACTCCTTTCATAGACAAAATCCTTGTTATATCAGCTCTGGGCAAACTTCTAAGTTCTGTTTATGAACTTTTCTTCCTCATTTCTCTGGCGGAGGAGGGGGGCTCTAGACTTTCCAAGTGTCTGGCACACTCTCTGTGAAGTGAGGCCAACCAGGGTTAGAGAGCACTGTGTTTCTCCAGGGAGTAGATCAGGGGGAGTCAGAGACAAACTTTTCCACCTGGGAGGAGGGATTTTCTCACACTTGTAAACCTGGGTTGAAAACTTAGTGGTGCTTATTTAGCATCCTGGGGGCAAGGACCCCCAGAGCATGCTAGAATCGGCCATTCAGTTGTCCTTGGGACCTTGGACACAGTGAGAGAGTGACTGGAGAGCATTTTTCCTTTAAAGAGCTGACCTGGCAACTCGGTGAGGAGTGAGGTAGCCTGTCTCCTTTGGAAAGGTCAAGAATCTGGGTAATTCCTGGATGGCACACAATTCACGATTCCATGACGTGTTTGGTGTGTGTTGTATGAAGTAGGAGTGGACTCAGAACCGTGCACGCCCTGGGGGGCGGTCACGAACCACGCGTGGCTATTCAGTGCTTGAGTCGTGGCCAGTAATGCAGGCTGAAAGGGTAACAGCATGGATACATCAGGTTAAAACAGAGTGCTAATCTTAACTACTGTCATGCTTCTCTTTAGCTCTTTACTATGGACATTAGCATATTCTGAATCGCACAGGTGGCCCAATCACATTTCTAGTGGCTGGGCCTCCAATAAATACGAGCTCAGTGTGTTCCTGCTCAGAGTCGAGGGAAAGTCCACTTGGATAAGTGAGGGCCCTAGAGTAAAACCCCTCGAAAAATCAAACTGTGTTTGCTGAATATGGAAAGGCTAAATCTGACCCCAAATCATCAAGGTGTTTTCTCCAGCGTTATCAGAATCTACTCTCGCGCTTTCGGGTGGATCTTGCTTCTCTACTAACAACTCCCCCCTCTTCTTTCCTCATCAAAACACACGTCCTCGCACTAGAGGTTAGATGCAGTCATAACCCCTACGTGTTAAAAAGAAAAATCTTCTTCCCATAATGTCCTTTCTTTGTCAGTTTCTGAGGTGGTAACTGGGTCACCAAGGCAGAGAGAATAATTGATGTCACATGCTGTGTCCTGCAGCTTTCGGGGAAATCACGCCTGGGCCGGCTGAGCCAGAAGAATCGACAGATACTCTCAAGCTTTGTCCTCAGGAAGAGTTCATGAAACTGTATAAGCAGAAGGCTGGAGAGGTGCTGTGCTCGTCCGTGAAACAGAGAATGGGACAGAGACCACTGTTCTCATGAAATACAAGATTTCCTATAGCACGAACTTCAAAGTTTGGGGGGTGGGGGCAGTGGTAACCTTATCCATAGATGCTTTGAGCAAGGAGGAAATCGTGGGGCCTCACAGAGACTCTAATTCTCTTTCAGCCCCATGATAAAATACAGACCTCGCACTTTGTTCGTTTACTGGTTCTAGTATCTATCTGGGATTTATGACAATTTTAGCATAGTCATGGAAGCAAAATATTTATAAGAGAATATGGCGGACCAATAATTGTTTGCATTCTAGTGAAAATCCTAGATATAAAGCATATTTTAAAAATATAATTAAAGCCTGCAAATCACTGTATGTTGCTACAGTTTCAAAAACCAGTACCTGAATAGTAACATGACCAAAGGCAAAAGATCGTTGATGCATCCATTTTTAGCGGGGGCCACTGGCAGGAGTCTCCTGGCTTTGACAAAATTTGGTCTGAATCTTGGCTGCTAAGGAAGATGTGGCTAGATGTAGAAGAGAGAGGAAGAGATGATAGGAACTACTCTAGTCCCCTCAAGGTTCTTGAGTAACCATCCCAGATACATACTGGGTCCTGTTCCGGGCTCTTGAAAGATAATTTACTCCCAACGTGCAATTCTTTCCATTGCCGACTCAATCCATTGCAAAGAGATAAGAAGGCAGGGTCTTCTGGTTCAGGGGATGGGATGGCTGCAGGAGTCCTTAGCACAGTAACAGAGACTGGTGGGTGAGGGTTTAGGAGAGTCAGGCAAACTGAACTCCCTGCATACCCATTTCCGGCAGATCTACCCAATAAAGGAGAGAAAGGATCGGACTCGTCTGGCTCTCATCATATGCAATACGAAGTTCGATCATATTCCTAACAGGAATGGGGCTGAGTTTGACATTAAAGGGATGAGGAGGCTGCTTACGGACCTTGGCTACAGTGTGCACCTAGAAGAGGAACTGGACGCTAAGGTAGGGACCCCTCACCAGCCCCAAACAAGTGCATGTTCAACATGCATTCTGCTACTAACACATTAGCTTTATCATGTTAGGCAAATACCTTGACAACCTTAAGCTCTGTGTGTGTGTGTGTGTGTGTGTGTGTGTGTGTGTGTTTATAAAGTGGAAGTACTAGGCAGGTAAAATCTAGGTCTCTTTTGAGCTCTAAATATCCTCAGTTCCATAACTGACCAAAGTGACTGGCATGTTGCAAACTGGGATGATTAGGACTTGGCCCCAACACTGCCCAGAATCCTCTAGAGTAATGAGTGGTTAGCAAGAATGTACTCGCCACGTAAGTACTGAGTCCCAGCTCTGTCCCGGGGGTTATCCTTGGCACTGGGCACAGGTCTGTGAACAAGACAGGAAGGTCCCAGCTGCAGGGATCAAGGTGCACATGGCGGGGGGATAATCGAACTGAAAGCAAAAGAGAACATTCCAGGGATCTGGTATGTCTCTAGAAGAGTGAGAAGAGAGTCAGAAGTAAGTGAAAGGGAAACATGAGAGCAGGCTGGTGAGTGAGGAGCAATCATGTTGGATGGGGTGGTCGAGAGAAACGTCTGTGAGGAGGTGACAGAGGACGAGGCACGTCACTGCAGGGGACGAAATACATTCCGAGGGAGAAGTCTGAACAGAATGGCAAGTTAGCACAGGAGCAGCAGAGAAAGACCAGACGGACCGCAGCCAGGGGAGGAGGAGGCAGGGTGAGAGGCGGCCGTTCATACGTCCACGGTTCGATTTTATTCTAAGCACGGGGGGATGGGTTTTACATTTACATGTGCTGCCTTTACGACACAAAGGTCTCATCAGGTAATGAGAGAAAAGACAGAGATGGAACGGAAAAGCTCTGTAAGGGACAACAGGTGAGTGTGACACGTATCCAGAGAATGGTTTACGTAGTGTCCTCAGAGCAGGAAGTCCCACCCACTGCTCCATGGCAGGAAGATGGGACACCCACCATGAGAAGGCATAGCATGTGGAAGGTCACGCATACTTCTTAGACTGTGCGTGAGGAGCAGGAGGCCAGGCTAACTGAAATGCTTGTCCCCGTCAGTGACACCCGGTGGTCTTTTTCAGGAGATGGAGTCCGCGCTGCGGGCGTTTGCCGCCCGTCCGGAGCACAAGTCCTCGGATAGCACTTTCCTGGTGTTCATGTCCCACGGCATCCTGAGCGGAATCTGCGGCACGAAGCACAGCCCTGAAAACCCAGATGTGCTAGCTTACGACACCATCTTCCAGATTTTCAACAACCGCCACTGCCTTAGTCTAAAGGACAAGCCCAAGGTCATCATCGTCCAGGCCTGCAGGGGTGGTGAGTTCTGAGATGGAGGGGCTTGTGGAGAACTGGGTGCAGTTTGTTTCTAGAGGAAACGGTCGTAGACCCCATTCAGTGCACAGCAACGAAACTGAATTATTAGGAGGGTCCACCTAGGGACTGGTGTCACGAGAATGTGTCCTGTCAGCTGACGCTCATGTCCTCGATTTAATCCAGGGGATGTGGTGAAGAAGACCACCAAAACTAAACAGAAATGTTCAAATCTTGGAGCAAATTGACTTCAGTGACAGCTTCCCCTGTGAATGCTTTACAGACCTTTTGACATTCTCTGGCCTGAGAAGAACTTCAGCCGCAAGTGGGGGTACTGAGTAAAGGCAGCACCCTTTCTGTCCCTGCACTACTGAAAGGAAGGTGGTAGGAAGATGAGGGAATTTGGAACTGCAGTCAAAAAAGTGTTTTGTTTTTCCTGATTTCCAATCACCATTTAGCTTTTGTGGAGTGGTGTTTGGGGGGAAAGGAAACAAAAATAATTTAGCAAAAACTCTAAGTCTGCTCTCTGAAATGATGCAAATAAGGCTTTGACTCCCCTGTTCGTCTTAGCAAATGTGTTCTTTCAGTTTGATGATGCTGTCACCGTTAGTGGGCACACTGCTCAACGACACCAGAGCAAGGCAGAGTGGTGTGTGTGTGTGTGCGTGTGTGTATGCGCGTGCACGCACGCGCATGTGTACGAGACCAGTCACACTGAGAGCTGCACCGTGTCTAGCAAGTCGATGTCTCCACAGAAAACCTTGGGGAGCTGTTGGTCAGCGACTCTCCTGCGGCTCCGACGGAGAGAATTTCACAGATGGGTTCCATCCTTTCACAGATAGGTGACAGCCTGGAGGATGACGCCATTCACAGGGTCCACGTGGAGAAGGACTTCATCGCTTTCTGCTCCTCAACCCCACGTACGTGTCCTTCTGTGCAGACAGGGATTGTGGGGCCCGAGGCCAGTTCTAAGACAGGCTCTGTGCAACAATGACCCGAAGCAAATACTAAGTGTTGCTCTATCTTATGTTTTGTTTTATCTTGTCTGTTCTCTGGAGACACAGATTCTTTTCTCCCCCTTACTTTCTAAAATTGTGCTTTTACTGTAAGTGCTATGCTTTACGGTCAAAGGTACACCAAACATTAAAACCATCTAATGCCAAGAACCCCCCTGACCATACGCCATTTTAACACAAATGATGGATTCAGGTTTCTGTTAAATCCATTCAACATTTTGAGAAGAGTTTGTATGGATCCTGGGACTGGCTGCCCTTTCCAAGGATCAAGTGCAAGCCTCTCCCTCCGTATTTCCCATCTGACGCCGTGGGCAGGTATGCTGTCTCACGCCCCTGCAGTGGATGTGGATGCCCCATTAGAAGGAGTACAAAATGATACTATGGGGCTTATTAGACCCTACTAATAGGACAGCGTTGAGTTCTTGAGCTCTCTGTAGTCATCTGAAGAAGCCTGACATTTGAGGGCTTCTAATGTGCACATTTTTATTTCTAGTCTTTTTTTAACTGGTTTATGGAATCATAATTGACAGACAAAATGCTATGCATACTGAATGTATACTGCATAATGAGCTTGGAGATAAGTATATGTCTGTGAAAGTATCACCACAATCAATGTCATAAACATATCGATCCCCTCCAAAATTTCCTTTGGGCCTGTTCATCTATTGTATGTACTATATTGTGAAAGACAGCACGGTATAAAACCTGGTAAGAGCTGCCTGTGTAAACATGGGGACACTCTTTAATCCTTGTGAGCTTCTATTGTTTCCTCTGTAAAATGGGAGAATTCCAGTCACCTCTCAAGCAGATGAACATGGGACACGTAGTAAAAAGTCAGTCAATCCTAAGAATACAGTGCCATCTCCTGCACTTCCGATGAGCTGCCGCGAGTTCAACCTCAGCTAGCGTTTTGTGTGTGGGTCTGTTTCCTCTCTGCGGAAAAGGGTTCTAAGTGTCGAGATAATTACCATGCTATGCTTTAGAAACAAAGGTAAGCAACATAAGGGTGAAGACCACAGCTCAAGGCTCACCACTTCCTGTCTTCTTAGATAATGTGTCCTGGAGAGATGTGAACAAGGGATCTCTCTTCATTACACAACTCATCACATGCTTCCAAAAATATTCTTGGTGCTGTCATCTGGAAGAAGTATTTCGGAAGGTAAGCTTGTCTCTCCTCTTCCAGTCTTGGAAGAGGGCTATTATGTGCCTTGTGGGTGACAGTGGCAGAATTTCCAGGAAAACACAAGTAGAGTGGCACCTGGTTTCTGTCTTCATCTAGGTGTTTAAAACCTGATGTAGGAAAAAAAATCTCACTGCACTGTAGCAGGAGATCAAAATATATCAAAAAAATAATATAAATTATAAGCTTGTCTGTCATAGAGTGTAAGCTCTTAAATTTCAAAGAGTGACAGGTAATTGAATTAACTTTCATTGTTTAACTTATTAAATGAATATGGATTGTGTGGCATACTTGGTGGTGGGTTCTATCCTGGCAACGAGGGGGTGAACGAGACATAGGTGACCTAAGGCCGCGTAGCATTTACATTCTTTTGAGAGAGACGGTTGCCGAACAAGGAGGCCAACGAACAAATGCATGATTGGGAGAGGATCCGAAAAGACAAAGACCAAGGAAGTGGGAAAGAGAGGACAGGAGAAGACGTTCTCTGAATGGAGTGGCCCAGCAGGGATGACATGATAGTCCTTCCCCAGCCCAGGACATTGCTCAGTCCTCCTTCTTCTAGCTTAGTTCCTTCTGTGGCTCCCCCACCCATGCCCTCAGTGGATGTGTGTGTTTGTTTTTCACCTGTATTCATTCACTCAAATGAGAACTGAATGAAGGCAGAGATTTGCTAAACACTTCAACATTCAGCACGTAGGAATTAATATTCATTGAGTGAATAAAAGCATGAATAATAAATATATGCTCCTCCCATCATTTAGGGAGAAAGGGATTGGTATTAAGAACATGGCAAACTGTGAAGTGTTTCCATTCAAAACCATAGAGGACAGTGTCACTCTTCCAGAAAAAGAAGGCCACACCATTAGTAAATCAGAGAAGATTGCAGTGTGACATGAGTCAGGGTCTCCATGAATAAGAACTTAGCAAGTTGACGCATAGGACTTATACACTGCACTTTGAAGGGCACTTCTAGGAAAAGACTAGAAATAGTCAATCTAGGTTAAGTAGGATCTCATTGATCAGTCCATGGCCAAAGATTTCAGGTCAGTTTGGTGGTGGGGATGTGAAAGTTGTTCACTGTTCCAGACTTAAGAACAAAATCCTGGGATTTGAGTCTCATTAAGTTGAGGAGTTAGCCCTGGTGGACGTAGAAGGTAGAGAATTCTCGAGAGCGAGTTCTCACAAACAGACCTGAAGGGCAAACTGCTCATTAGACCTTTAGATCAGAAAACAGGAGATGGCGTTTGAAAGGTCTCGGATTAGACATAAAGTGTTTGAGATAAAGAGCATGTTCTGACAGGGGGTGTCACTTTTAAGAGGCAGGGCAACAGTGGCAGGGAGTCAGAGTATCCACGGGGCCAGCCCCATCAGCCCTGGGAGCACTGGCATGTTGAGAATTGTCCGGGCTCGTGGTGGAAAATCTTTTCTGAGAATTCCTAAGAGGTATGCCTCAGCTAGCACCTCATTTTGTTTTTAGGTACAACAATCATTTGAAAAACCAAATGTGAGAGCCCAGATGCCCACCATTGAACGCCTATCCATGACAAGATATTTCTATCTCTTTCCTGGCAACTGAAAACAGTAAGTATCAAGAGCTGTTGGCAGGTGAAGCAACGGGAGAGTAATATGGGTGGTGCGGTCCAGGGCCCCATGGCAGCTGACAGCTTGGATGCTCACATGAGTGTGCCTTGTTGATGCAGTGTGGCCATTCGCTGCTGTTTTTTTTACTGTACTTATGCGGGTCTGGCCCCCTACCTCCCCTCCACAATCCATCCATCCGTCAACCAATCAATGAGTTAAGCCAAACCAAGACAGGAAGTAATAAACTATGAAGGACACAGAATAGCAGTTATTAAAATAGAAATGCGCTCATGTTTCCATTATTACTTATATTGATCTCCCATTGTCTCCCTGCCCACCCCTCCCCTCACGCTCAGTCACCACACATTGCTTCAGATCCTGAAAACACACAGCAGAGGAGCTGGGCTTGGAGAAAGCAGGACGTTGGTCCTCTGAGGACACGCACTCCCTCCCTACTTTGACCTCTCATCATCAGAAATGTGAGATATACCCTGGACCGTAAGGCTTGCGTTGAGGCCGACTCTGGTTCTCCAGCTGTTCTCACAGTGTGGATGTCAGAACACTAGAGTGTGGTCTCAGATCTGCAAATACCTCTCAAGTACCGGAACCCCTTCAAGCCCCCATCTTAACACATGATGATGATGATGAGGAGGAGGAGGAGGAGGAGGAGGAGGAGGAGGCAGCAAACTATTTTAGAATGGGTACATCAAGGTGATAACTAATGATTATTTTACTCAGAGCAGCTTTATATCATTCTACATTATAAACAATTCTTCGTATCCCTCTCAGAAACATAATTTAAATTTAACAGTAACATTTATCTCTGTAATTTAAATATTTACCTGTACTCTGATATCTGAGACATTGGTTCAAAATTGCACAGATATTTCAGTATAATAGCTTTAAGGCCTAATTAGTCCAATAGAACCATATCTGAGGATTGAATTATTTATGTGATGTATTTCTCAACCCATTATTATGTTCCAGGTCCTGTTCTAGATGCTCATAATAGATGAGCGAACAAAATTAACAGAATCCTTACTCTGAAAAAGCTCATACTCTAGCGAGTGGAGACAGATGAAATACACAAGGAAATATATCATAGGTCAGAGAGGGATAAGAGCTAAGAAGAAAGATAAAGGATACTAAAGAGACACAAAAAGGTGGATGCCAGAGTGTTATCTATAGACAACTGAGACAAAGTTTCTTTGAAGTGGTAAAATGGTAAAATCAGAACAAAGACTCGACAGACTGGGGAGGGAACCCTGTAGCATCATCCCAGCTCAGGGAACAGCAAGTACAAACAGCCTGAGGCAGAAATGCAATCAACATGTCTAAAGAATTGCAAGAAAGAGGGTAGACTAGAGGAGGATGAGATTGGGGGAAATGGCAGAGAAAACCTGAGAAAAGCATTGGGAAACCTGATCACAAGGATCTTGGTGGTCACATGGTAAACGTTTTACATTTTTTATCGTGTGTGAGACAGAAAACATTTCAAGTGCTTTGCACAGAGAAATGACACCATCTAATAACAGGTTTGGCAAACGTCACACTGAGTATTTTTGGCGAACAGACTATAAGGGTCACAAATATAAACGAAACAAAGTGGCAAAAGTACTCAAAAAAGGATGAAAAAGGCATCGTGATAAGGGATGGACTAAAGGCTTCTAGGATTACTATCCTGACCTGCTCTTTTTCTCTCCTTCAGGCATCACGGGCAGTCCAGCTCTTCTTGACCAACTTCGAAAAGTACCTTAGCTAGCATACCACACTCATTTAACTCGTTTCATTTCAATAAAAAAGAAAACAAATAAACTGTGCCCTTTAAATCCTCAGGAGAGAACATAATTTCAATGAAAATGGGGGCTGGTTGGAAATGAAGTGTAAGAAGCAAGCCGCATTTTCCAGCTTTATGACTCATACAGTGTGTGCATGTCATTGGGTGATAACAACTGGCCATGACCCTGGCCTTCAGCACAAGGGTGAAAGGAGATGGTGCCCATCTGGAGCCAGCACTGCAAATCAGCTCCCCATCTGTACACTTATCAAACCCTGGATCTAGAGAATGATGTAGAAGAAATTTTCTAATTCATTACTTAATCAACATTATAGGTTGAGCTCATTTCTTTTCTTCAGTAAACTATTATGATTTCCGCAAATTAATCCCACATATCTTTCTTCCCGTTATAAGTTAATTTTCTTGTTAATTATTTTTCCTCAGACTCTGCACATTCCACATTTCAGAAAAATTTTATCCTTTGCAAGCTCTTGGCTATTGTGTAAGATGAGTTGGGCTTTGGTTCAAGAGGGTATAAAGTCAGTGTATATGTGTAGACGTAAAGATATAATTGCATAAATGGCAGCAAAGGGAAAGGAGAGTGTCAGCAATGGAAAAGACAACATCCACAGTTCTGGAAGGATGAGCGTTGAAAGAGGGATCTGGGCAAGCTGGTCATCAGAGCTACTGTGGAAGGAGATGTTCCACTTTTGCTACGTGCACAGAGAACGGTGGATAGCTATTTTAATACGTGGCTGAGCTAAATTTAAAAAAATAAAAGGAAGCTCTAGATGTGAAACATAACCATAATAGTTCAAATTTATACAGATTAACTGTATGTCAGGAGAACTGTGAAGAATTTATCGTCATGAGGGATTTTTGTATATAAGTAACTAATTTAATCAACACAACAGCCCTGTAATTACAATCAACACCTCAATTTTACAGAGAATAAAACAAAAGAACATAGAGCATAAATGACTTGTCCAAAGTCACAGTTAGCAGGTGGCCACAGCAAGATATGAGTGCTCTGACTCGCTCTGGGATGGAGTTATTCACCACTGTCCTGTGTTGCCTCTCCAAAGCCAGGACAGACGAGAATGGGAAGGATTCTGAATTGTAGGGGTTAATAATACTACAAAGACTGATGATGGTTTTACTCCTGAACGTGGTCTGCCTATGTAGGGACATGAAGCACACTATAAACATCCAAAGATGCATATTATAGATACCTAGTTGTCTGGCCACTGAGTGTCAAAGTAGAAATTCACTAACAGAAACACTGCCTCTCATCTTCACGTAGCTTGAAATTGAAATAAAAAATAAATAAATAAATGCACATACGTAATTCATGTACATATACACACAGACAAAACAAGGGAGAGAAACGTATGAACTAAGCATTCAACTTGAGAAGTCAGAAAAATGCTAAACCAATACATAAAAAGAAGTAAGCAAATAATAAAGATTAAAAACAAATTCCAACTAAAATAGTAAAGAAACAAAGGACTGAGCAGATCATTAAAGCAAACGCTGGCCCTTTAATAGGACTAATCAAAGCTCAGACATTCAGCAAGACTGAATAGGAAAAAACCAGAATTAGCACAAAGACAATATTAGAGATAAAAAGGTACACTAAATACAGATTGAAATAAAGAGAAAAAAACAGAGAATATCATACAAAACACAGGAAATACATGGAAATTTTTCTTTTTTTTTTTAAATGTTTTTTTTTTTTTTTTTTTAGGAGAGGGGGAGGGAGCCAGCGTGAACAGGGGAGGGTCAGGGAGAGAGGGAGGCACAGACTGAAACAGGCCCCAGGCTCTGAGCTGGCAGTCAGCACAGAGCCCGACGCGGGCTTGAACCCACGAACCGTGAGATCATGACCTAAGCGAAAGTCGGACGCTTAACAGACTAAGCCACCCAGGCGCCCCGGAAATTTTTCAAGAAAAGGAAAATTAATACATGATAAAGCAAGAAGCTGAATGGATCCATAAACATTCAACAAATTATTTTCTTTCTTTTTTTTAATATTTTTATTTATTTCTGGGAGAGAGAGAGAGACAGCGTGAGCAGAGGAGGGTCAGAGAGAGAGGGAGATACAGACTCTGAAAGAGGCTCCAGGCTCTGAGCTGGCAGTCAGCACAGAGCCCGACGCGGGGCTCGAACCCACGAACTGCGAGATGATGACCTAAGAGAAAGTCGGACGCTTAACCGACTAAGCCACCCAGGCGCCCCTCAACAAATTATTTTCTGTTTGTCATATTTAGCTGCAGAAAAGGCTAGTAGACCCGAATGGTTGTAGACATGTTTTACAAAACTTCTAAGAAACTGATGAGCTATACTTTACATAAACACATCCACATAAAAAGAGAAGTACACTTCTTAAGTTGTTTTACAGGGCTTCTCCAAAACTGAAACAAAATTAAAGAAGAAGAGAAGGAATTAGAAAAATATTCGCTGATTTCTCACCAAGTTCATGTAAAGATTCTAAAAAACATGCTAGCAAAGAAAATCTAGCCATATCTGAAATAATATTAATACTCATTAACCGGTATTTAATGATACTAGTATTTACACTAAGAATGGGTTACGGTCTAATAATAGACATATTTATGATAGCGTCCCTCAAAAAAAAAAACCATGAAAAAGTAGACACAATAATTTTAAGAAGTTATAAAGGCATTCCGTAGTATTCAGAGTTAATTTATAATAAAAAATAAGGGCACCTGGGTGACTCAGTCGGTTGAACACTGACTTTGGCTCAGGTCATGATCTCACGGTTTGTGAGTTTGAGCCCAGTGTTGGGCTCTGTGCTGACAGCTCAGAGCCTAGACCCTGCTTCGGATTCTGTGTCTCCATCTCTCTCTGCCCCTCCCCTGCTCATGCTATTTGTCTCTCTCTCAAAAATAAAATAAAAATAAATAAAAATAAATAAAGATTAAAATTAAAGCCTTAGAAAGACAAGAGAAAAGCAATTCCTCAATTTAATGCATATATTTCATTAAAAGCCTACCAATAAAATTAAAATAGAGGAAAAACACTTAATATGAGAAAACCTGTAGCCTTCTTATGCAGAAGTATTTGAGTATTACCTTTATATAGTATATAAGTAAAAAAGATTTCTAATCAATTTTGCACTAGAGTTCCAAGCTGAGAAAGCCAAAAGTAAAAACTATGGAATACAAGAAATAAAATCATTACTGTTCTTAAAAAATATGATTTCATTCATTAAAAATCTCTTCAAATTAATAATAAACTCCTTGGATTTGCAACAGTTCAGATCAATATACAAAATATTACAGTATTCTTGCAAAGCAAAGATCATCAGGAAGTGTTTGCTGTTTTAAAGTCTCTCTTTGCAATAAGGAGAGAACATCATAAGATACTTGAAGATAATTTTAAACAAACAGTTGCAAGGTATATATGGAAAAAATAGTTTACAAAATCCCCGAGTGACATAAAAAAGATTTAACTACCTTATGAGATATATAATCATCACTGATTAGAAGACAAATAACTATAAAGCTTTCAATTTTCCACCCAAGTTAATCTATAAACCCAACAAAATAACAAAGAAACTCTAACAGGGTATTTTATTGAACTTAATAGGTTATTTACACACTTGGTTTGGAAGGTGAAGTAGTAAGAACAGCTAAGAAAGCAATTTTCTTTTAAGAGGATGGAGATTGCCTAAATATAAATCAAGACATGATATAAAACTCTATGAAAGGAAACAAAAACAAACATGAGCTACAGGGAGTTCATCAAGATAAAAAGCTTCTGAATAGCAAAAAAAACAACAACCTATAAAACTAAAAGGCAGTATATGAAGTGGGAGGACATATTTGTAAATGACGTATATGATAAAGGGTTAGTATCCAAAATTTATATAGAACTTATCAAACTCAACACCTAAAAAAAAAATAATCCAGGTAAGAAATGGGCAGAAGACATGAAAAAACATTTTTCCAAAGAAGACATCCAGATGGCCAGTAGACACATGAAAAGATGCTCAACATCACTCATCATCAGAGAAATACAAATCCAAACCATGATGAGATACTACCTCACACATGTCAGAATGGCTAAAGTTAACAACACAAGAAACAACAGACATTGGCAAGGATTGGAGAAAGGGAGCCTTCTTACACTTGGTGGGAATGTAGACTGGTGAGGCCACTCTGGAAAACAGTGTGGAGGTTCCTCAAAAAGTTAAAAATAGAACTACCCTATGATCCAGCATTTGCATTAGGCATTTATACACAGAATACAAAAATACTGATTCAAAGGGCACATGCACACCAATGTTTATAGCAGCGCTATCTACAATAGCCAAATTATGGAAAGAGCCCAAATGCCCATCAATGGACAAATGGATAAAGAAGATGTGGTATATGCATACACTGGAATATTATTCAGCCATCAAAATGAATGAAATCTTGCCATCTGAAACAATGTGGGTGGAGCTAGAATGTACTGTGCTAAGCAAAATAAGTCAGTCAGAGAAAGACAAATACTGTATGATTTCACTCATATGTGGAATTTGAGAAACAAGAGATGAACATCTGGGAAGGGGGAGGAGAGAAGAGAAGGAAAAAAACACAAGAGACTTAACAGAGAACAAACAGGATTGATGGAGGAAGGAGGTGGGTGATGGGCTAGATGGGGGGTGGGCATTAAGGAAGGTGCTTGTTGGGGCACTTGGGTGGCTCAGTCAGTTGAGCATCTGACTCCAGATTTCGGCTCAGGTCATGATCTCCAGGTTCATGAATCTGAGCCTCACATGGGGCTCTGTGCTGACAGAGCCTGCGTGGCATTCTCTCTCTCTGCCTTTCCCCCACTCATGCTCTCTGTCTCTCCCTCAAGACAAACACTAAAAAAAAAAAAAAAAAAAAAAAAAAAGAAAAGAAAAAGAAAGGAAGGCCCTTGTAGTGATGAGCACTGGGTATTGTGTGGAAGTGAAGAATCACTGACTTCTACACCTGAAGCCAATATTAAACTGTATGTTAACTAACTAGAATTTAATTTTCAAAAATGAAACTAAAAGTGAATTCAAAGATGATAAAAAAAAAAGGTGCATAAACCGGAAGGACTTTTTAAAATGCACAAAATCAGTAAAAGATCCATTTACTCAGGAAACCTACAAATATTCGACAATGACCATATGTCAGGCAGTAGGCATTGAGAACAAAACAAAGTCCCTTCTTCGTGGAGCCTGGAATTTAATGGGGGAAGAGAGACAATATATAAAAATGAAACAAATAGATAGTTTATCAGCAGAGTAGACCTGATGTAGAGAGGGAGCCCATCATGAGAAATGTGAAGGAAGAGCATTTCAAACAGAGGGAAAAGTGAGGAGAAACGACCTGAGACAGGAACTTGGTTAGTGTGTTTGAGCAGGAGCTCGAAATTCATGGGCAAAGAGAAGTGGGGGAGAGTTAGGACATTAGATCAAGGAATTAACCAAGTCCAGATCATATTGGGTGCCATTCCTATAAAAGACCTTTCACTTTTACTCCAAGATAGAAAATTATAGACAATTTTGAGCAGATGAATGGATTAAATCATCAGAGGTATACTTTAGCAAGCTCACTCTGGCTCCCAGGTGGAGATGAGAATGAAAAGCAGGAGGCCAAGGGAGCCCCAGAAAGAGGACTTACGAGCCTATGGCAAAAATTCAGATGTCATGGTCGTCCAGATCTAGATGACAGAGGTGAGGCAGAGGGCAGCCCTTGTGTTCCGAAGCTAAAGGCAACAGATCTGGAGAAAATGAGAGACCGAGCATAAGAATTAAACGTTCTACTCTTAGACACGAGAAGAATAAAATGGAAAGCACTCTAACACGTGGTAGGTTTGGGGGGACAGAGGCATCTACCAGGCACCGAAATAGATGCCCATTGGATACTGGCTATATGAGCACGGCGTTCAGGGGGCAGGCACGGGCTGGAGGGGACACTTTTGTGCTGTCCTCCTATATATAAACAGTATTGAAAACCAAGATGCTGCATGAGGCTGCTCAATCAGGGGGGACAGAGAGAGCAGAGGCCCCAAGATGGGAATCAACTGGCCGAGTTCACTAAGAGAAGCAGCCCGTAAATCATGGGAGAAGCAAGGCAGGCTCGTGATTTGGAACGCAAATGAATGAAGGGTTTCTGGAAGAGGAGCAAATATCACTTGGAAAAGCTCCTAACATCAAAAGAATGAGATTGTTCCAAATGTGCTGATTCTTAAAATGTCTCTCATATATTGTGAAGTTGCAAAAAGCAAATTACTCATGATATGAGGGAAAAGTTAGAGGTAAATATGTGTTTCTCTTTCTATTTGTGAATAGCAAACTACCCCCAAACTCAGTGGCTTTAAAACAACAAGCATTTAGTTCACAAGCGGATCAATCATCTGTGTGGTTCTTGTCGTCTCTGGGATTTTCCACGTTTCTGAGAGCACCTTCACACAGGCCAGGAATCTACTGATATTTCTGGGATCTCTTATGTATTTGTAAAACATCTGGCTTTGGAAAGCCTGAAGCTGGTCTCAGATGGCCTGAGGCCACTGGGCTCTTCCCCACGTGATGTCTCATCTTCTAGCAAAGTAGCCCAGGTGACCCAGAGAGGGAAGTGCCTGGTGCATCTGAAGACCCGGGCACAGAGATGTGCAGTGTCCACTTACTGCATTGTGATGGCATGACCAAGTCATAGGTGATCTTACAGTCAGAGCAAAGGGTACAAAGACACTTGAGATGCAGGTCATCAATAACACCAGCAGTGTATGAATGATTTTGTACAAGCACAGGAAAAAAACTTCCAATGATGCGAGCGAAACATATAATGGGGATTACTTTGGAGTGTGAGACTATAAAAGGTGGGTGATCTTATTTTGTTTCATAGAGATTTTGTTGTTTAAAAAAATTTTTAAGTAAAAGAGTCAACAAAGAGAAATATACACATTTTCCCAGAATCGAAAGCACACAGATCAGGAAAGAGAGAAGAAAGGTCACTCGACTGGGTTTTTAAAAACAGTGACAGAGGGTACCACTGTTTGTCAGTTTCCAGCTCAATGTAAGCCTTGTAAACTCACATCTCTCTTCAGGGGGCGAGCGGACCTTATCCAGGGAGACCCCTCTGCCATTTGGTGGCTGAGGGGTGGCACCGAGACAAACGAGGGTCGATTTGACTTATTAACTGTGTCAAAATTAGACCACAAAACAAAACAGAGCAACTGTGTGATAGGAAAAAGAAAAGACAGGCTTTGCTTCCTGTTTTTCAAAGGAAGTAAGGTGCATATCAGAACAAGAGTCAAATTCTCTCTTTGCGAAGACAGAAGGACCCGGCAAGCTGTACTTTCCCACTGAGAGTTAGCGAAGAGCAGCCGCATGCCAATCCTCTGAGAGCACAGGAAGACGGCTGCTTTCATTTTCACTACCTTTCCTGCCCAGAGAGCCCGAGCAGCGATGGCCGGTGAGTGGCTCCAGTTTTCTGTTTTCTGTAGCCTTGTCTGGGGTCATCCAGGAGGAAGGGGAGGGGGAGAGGAGGAGGGTCCATGAGGAGGCTGCCCCCAACGCACAACTGTTTGACTCTGGGGACATGAGGGATGGGGGCTCAAGGCAGAGTCGCACGTCCTCTAGCAGACCAAGTATTTTGGTGATAAGTTAGATCTTCTTGTAAAAAGAACGAGATGTAAAAACTCTGGAGCGAACTTCTTATAACTTTGCTGTGATTATAGCCTTTTTGGAGAACTCTGACTGACTGAGCGTTCTTACCTGTTTTACTAGCGTCCTCATTAGGGTGAGGGGCCATTTCATTTTATGTCTCTGCTCTCCGTGTGACCTCTCACCAACAGCAGTGAGCAAGCTAGCCACACTGTGTTCTCTCCGTCCCCGCGGCCCCTCCTCGGAAAGCAAACACGCATCCTTCCCTAGATGCTAATATGTTCATGCCTTACTGGTACATATATTGATGACAGCGTGTTTTTGAATGAGGTGTTGATAAAAGTGACAGGAAGTAAAGAGATCATAGGTGATACCAAGATGGAACTCAGTCAGCCATCACTAAGCTAGTCAGAGAAGCTGCTTTCTTTCTCTGCGCCTCAGTTTCTCCACTCATACGAGAGCACAGGCTTGAGGGCGATGGCTACTCCTCTAAGTGTGGTCCTCAGACCAGCATCTTTACCATCATCTGAGACATTGGGAGAAATAAAAATAATGCACTCCACCCTGGTCACTGAAATCACATTTCCGGGAATGAGGAAGCTCTACTTACTGAGCTTTCAGATTCTTTCGCATGTTAAAATGTGAGACCCATGGACCGAGAAACCATTATCTAAAGTCTGTTCATACCTAAAATCCTATTGTTTTCACAGACAAGAAATCAACCCAAGATACAGTCAATGAGATAAAGGGCATTGCCAGCAACATGCTGAGTAGCCTCATTGACGGCTGGAAGGAAAACAAAGTGTTAAATAAGCAAGAGTTACGAACATTAGGGAAAAGACTGAATGTCATCATGGATAAGACTGAAGACCTGGTTGATGATTTCAGTGAGAAATCTGAAGTAGTAGGAAAAATATTAATGAACCGTGTCTTCGGTCCCAAGAGCCAGGTAACTTTAGGTGAGTATCTTGAGTCAAAGAACTATTAACTGATTGCTTATCTGCTCTCCTTACGCGGTCTCTGTGTTCTTACTTCTGTTTGCAAGTGGAGAATCAACTATCCACACGTCTAGTTGCAGGACGATCTTACTTACGACTGCAGAACGCCCTGCTCTGGCCCAGACCCTCTGCCAGCATCACCTTCTCCTGCTGCATGCTTCCTTTTCTCTTCAGCAACTGTCCCCTTCAATCACTCCATGGCCTTTCTTCGTCACTGTGCCGTGTCTACCCCGCTAACGTGTGAGCTCCATGAGGCATGGATCTGCGTCCGCTTCCTTCATGAAGATGGCCCAAGCTCCTGAAAATGGCACTTGACACATCAGGTGCTGAGTGAACATCTGCGGAATGTGTAAATGGTGCTGGAGCTCCAGTAAATTCTGGGACAGTCTTTACCCAGCCTGTGGCACACTGGCCATAGGCTGCGGACTCGAGAGTTATTCCCAGATGTGAAATGTTCAGTAGAAATAAAACGTCCACCCTCTTCTGCTCAGCTGTGGCTTGGCCCAAGGAATAAATCTCTGAGCACCTAGACTTGTCCTTGTTAAAGGAGGGCAGAGGGACTGTGAGGGGCAGTGGAGCATAATAGGTCTTTCTCTCTGAAGCACGGCTGGCACACGTTTCCTCTCAAGGGCCGAGAATAAACATTTTAAGTATTTTGGACCAAACGTTCTCTGTCACAGTGACTCAAATCTGATGCTGTGGCATAAAATTAGCAATAGACAGTAAGTACAAAGTGAGTGCGTGTTCCAATAAAGCTTTATTGGCAAAAACCGGTGTGGGATGGAGTCTGGCCTGCAGGCCACACTTTGCTGACCCTCCCTTAGAGTATGATATATACAGGAGTGTGCTCCTAATGCCTAGAACACCCTTTTGGGATTATTTTGCTGTTTCTGAAAGACTGCCCAACTTCATAGAGATGTATACTTTCCTTCCTGAGAGTGGAAAATGCTATTGCAGAAAAGCCTTGAATACAGAATTTGATTATTCCTGAACTTACATAAGCAGGAACATAATGAGCTCCTCTTTGTTTCACGGAAGCCCTGCCTCCTCCTTCACTTGGCAGAAAGGCACAGGCCTCAACAGCAAACCTGGAGCTTCGAAAAGGAACCAAATTTCCATGCTTCATAGGGCAGCCCCATGCTACGCAGCGTCCTTTACTCGTGAGCGCACGGGAAAGAGACTCAAGTATGTAGGTGCTAGTTCTGCTAACAAATCTTCTTTTCAATTATTTCAGAAATTCTTGATGAAAATGTGAATGATGAATCTGGGAGAATCAAGTCATCTTCCTCTTCAACAGGTAAGTGCCTTCAAGTCTCACACCACAATGAACAGCTTTAGAAGTATCCACAGGCATGGCAGTAAAGAGCTAGGAAACTAGTGCATTCAGTTACCACCTCTGGAAATAATCTACAGAGAAGAGGACAGATACCTAACTTCTGGCTCATTCCACTTCAGAACCTGAAATAATCATGAAGAAAGCAAAGAAAAAGGAAAATGCTGAGTCAGCCCAGGCACCTGATCTCCCCACAGTGGGAGCCATCAAAGCAAGTAGCTCATAGAAACCCTCAGACTGCACTCAGGGTAAGGTCCTATGTTACAGGGGCCCTAAGTCACTGGGAAAAGACCACTGAGTTGGGTTAAGAAACTCTGGGTTATTTCTAACTTTCCCCCTATCCCCAAGTCACAAGTAAGGTCAACACTTACATCCTGCTCTTCCACTTTCTGAGAATCTGGAAGTGAAAGCAAACATCATGAATTGGGGGAGAAGGTTGGGGGCACCACCATGGGTTCTACCTAGGACAGGCAGCGTCCTGGATACGTGGTGACACTAGGTAAGCTGAGGCAGACAGAGAGGCCCCTCAGTGCAGCAGAAAGAGAGCTGAAATAAAACCCAAGCGATCTCTGCACTGAGCCCATCACTGCCCCTGACTCACCACGTTCCCTGGTAGAAATGTCCCAACTTTTCTGAAAAGCGGGAAGTATCCCAACTCATATTTTTCAATGAGATTACTAGCATTCATAAAGATGCAAAAACACGTCCAAGAGAGATCAACTAACAACTGCACAAACAGAACAAGGATGTGGTTAAGAAAAACACTTTCACAAAAAGCACAGCAGAACGAATCACACGTACGGGGTGATCACTAAAGTAACTGATAGATTACTGAGCCACGTTAAAGAATCACAGCATCGAGAAAGTGGTTAGTGATGGTGTTGCGTTTTCAGTAGAATATTTTCAGAAGTTCTGGATAAGCCTAGAAAGGCATAAACACTTTGCCCTCTTTAGTCAGTCTTATCTATTCATATATCCGTATGTATATATGCATATATTAGCTGAAAGCCTACCATAGGCTGTTCTCATCACTGTGTTTACAGCAGGAATCAAGATAAAGAAAGATCCCGCTTTCATGCAGTTTACAGTGCAGTGAAGGCACATATAGAGTCAGCAGGACCAAAATACAAGTGTAATCTGGGGAATGGACAGGAGAAAACAGGCGAGGCACGGGAGCCAGGAGGAACTGCTGTGAGAGCTCATCTCATGTGACACTCAGTACAATCTGAACCATAGTGGGGAGCTGTTCCACACTCTGAGGCTACAGCATTAGCTTTAGTCAGAAATGGTCTTTTGATGTCACAAGGTCAACCCGATGGCAGAGTAGGAGATTAGGGGGACATGGTCAAAGCAGCTGCTACGGTCTCAGCCTGGAGCTACCATACTATTTAGGGCCTTTTAGAAAGAGGGAGAGTGTTTGGGTCATATTTGCAATAGAGAGGCCCTTAGAAGTTTTTAGGTGGAGGAGTCACAAGTCGTCATAGTGTCAGAAAGGCCAACCATGTTCAAATGTTTCAGTTAAGAGATCCTAGCTCCTGGATGGCTTTGTCATAATTGGGAGGATGACATGTGGTTAAATCTGGAGGTTTTTGAATGGAGAGTCCAGAGAAATTATGCTGGACTGGCTGTGGGCTAAAGAAGGAAGAGTGAGAATCAAGGATGCTTCTGCATTTTCGGCAGGCAACTAGGTGAAGGGTACGAGGAAGTGAGATAGAAAGAAACTTGTAGTAGAGAGAAATCTGAGGAAAAACATATTTGTAGGAGGGGGCAAACCAGGAGTCCTTCTCTGTACCTATTTACTTTGTTGCATGGGTCACACCCAAGGGTCGATGTGAAGAAGCAGGGAGATCCAGCCGCACTGTTCACAGAGCCACCAGGCATGGGAGTAAATCTCGGGACAGACTAGCACAGAGGCAGTATTTAGGGTGATGTGTCCGGAAGAGGCCGCTGTGGGAGAGACGCTCACAGAACATCAGAGGGTCCAATGTAGAAAGATCCAGTCTTGGAGGTGTGGGGGAAGTGCTGGAGCCGGCCGAGGGCAGCGAGCCTGAGAGGAGGGCACTACACGCAGGGCCTCAGAAGCGTGGCGAACCCTGTGCAAGGACGGAGGTGTTTTCGACCACGTGCAAATGCTCAAGAAGCAAAAAATGGTCAGTGGTGACCTCGATCGCAAGCACTTCAGTGGTGAAAATGACAGCCAGGGTGTACTGCACGAAGAAAGTAAAATGAGAGGTGAAAAAAGGAAAACAGTGAAAAGAGACGCCACCTTTAACGGACTGTACTGAGAAGCGGGGCCGGGAAACGCGTCCAGAGCTGGACGGGAAGCCGCGTGCAGGGGTGGATGTGTCACAGATCAAGGGAAACCAGGCATGTGACATGCCAGCGGGGAGAGCACAGCAGGGGCAAGAGGGGGAACAGATGATGCAGACGACGGGGCCGAAGGACGGTGCCTGCAGGTGGGAGGAGACAGAGCTGGGGCGTAAGAGAGTCTGCGCTGGGACAGGAGGAAGGTCGCGCCGTCCTCTGTAACGAGAGGGGAAGGACAGCACACACGCAGGCGAACGAACAGGTCTGTTGGTTCAAAAGATGAAATCATTCTGACCCGACAATCCTGGAAGGAACAGAAAGCGGGCGTCCCTATGGGAGAACTACAACACGAAAAGCGGTAGATACCTGGTGGCTAGTTTCAAGTACTAGAAGGTGACTATTCATTAATAAGCAGTTATAAACTTTTCACCTGTGCCAGATAGTCATTCTGGACATAGGCAACAGAGATAATCACATCTATCCTGTCCCAACGAAGCCTGCCACACGGGAAGCATAATTAAGAGAGATTACTATCATGGTTTTCATGGGGACGTTTACATAAAACAATGGAAACACGAGGAAAGAAGCCCTACACGTACTAGTGAGCTTTCACGGGAAAAGGAATTAGACATTTGTCTGGACGGTTCCAATGCATGCAATACATACCAGTGCTTAGAAGGCTCACACTTTAGGATCCTCAGAACTGGTCAAAATGCTTCAGAATTCTGCAGGGTCTGTTGGAGACATCGCACTGGTGGTAACAACACAGTAGGGATATTTCAGCGGAATTAAATAACTGAATAATGACTTGACCAGACCACATGACCATTAGGCTTCCTTCCAAATTTTAGGGAGTGTGTTTGTGTGAGACTAACATGCTGGGATTGAGAGATTAGTCAACGTCATGACCGCTGACAAAAACAAAAATTGTCGGTGGGGTAAGAAGCAGAAACAAAGACAGAGTACTGAAGATTTCTGTTTTTGTCATTTGTAATATGAGATGACTTTTTTTTGTTGTTGTTATAATAAGCTTTTTGAAGGAACGGCAGTAAGCATTTCCAAAGAATGAGAGCCCAGTGAAAAGACTGCCAGGAAGTGGGCCCTTCTCCTTAATGACTAATTTTTTTCTCTTATAGTTTTTCAGGAAATCCAGGCTTCCCAAACCAACATGCTGAGGCTTGGTCCTTGTAGCCATTTTGAGGAACCAAAGGCGGTGAAGGCACATGAGGTAATACACGTTGGAATAGGGGCACAAGGTTGTCCACTCACAACATACTGGGAACTCACTGGAAATTTTCGTTCGTGTTACGAATGCCTTAGGATCAGCCCCAAAGGCAGAGAATGTTATTCAATCATGTTATCTAATTAAGGGGCCCTTACGTCACATTTCCTCTCTGTTTCATCCCATCGTCAAACACATTTTAAACTCCTCCCCACCAGTGAACCAAAGTCAGGTTCCCCGAGTGTCTACTCAGATATCGTACACGTTTTTGGTCTGGCCTCTTGTTAGTGAGTACGTATTTCCATCCGGAGGTCTCTAGCCATCCCACGGCCTGCTTGTATAGGATTTGGAGGCAAAAGTGGGCAGGCCGGGTGCAACTCACTCTCTGTCCGTTAATTGCAGATATATCCAGTGATGGAGAAGGAGAGCCGAACACGCCTGGCCCTCATCATTTGCAACAAAAAATTTGATCATCTTTCTGAGCGACTAGGCTCTGAAAAGGATGTTTCGGGGATGCAAGACCTGCTGGAAAACCTTGGATATTCAGTGGTTCTAAAGGAAAATCTCACCGCTCTGGTAATGGCCCAGGAGAGTGGGATGGGTGCCTTCCCTTCCCTTTTTCCTTCCCTTCCCTTTTTCCTTCCCTTACCTTTTTCCTTCCCTTACCTTTTTCCTTTCCTTTCCTTTTTCCTTCCCTTCCCTTCCCTTTCCTTTCCTTCCCAGACGTCTTCCTTAGCAGTTTCACGAATACAGTGCATGTTACATAAAGTGTGTTTCTCTAGAGTAGGCATTCCTGACTTCAGCCTCTTCCCAGGCACATTCTGAGGCCAAGACTGAGAGGGCAGCAGTTCACTAAAAAGGCTGCTCTTTCTAATGTTCTCGATTTGGGAGACACACATCCCTTGAGATTCTACGTGAGACACAACTCTGAGGCCTTTCTAATTTCAGTATCATGTGTACGAATGTGAGGCCAAGTATGCAGTTAAAAAAAAACAACAACAAGTTTTGCACGCACATGTACACAGAAGAAGTTGTGATTCTGGCTTTGTCCACAATGAATACCATGGGTGGCTTTGGCCAAACCATTTCCAAGGACATCTGTCACCTCACGTGTCTCTCCCTACACTCCACCTCCTAGCGTCTCCCCCAGTCTAAGGATCTACTGAACACCACCGGGCTACACGCTGTATGAAAAAACCCTGCTAACTTTTCCATTCTATATGTCTAAGTTTCTGGCTTTATTTCAGAACATAATTTCACGTACAATTCCAGTCTGTCCGAATCTTCTGATCCCTCACTTTCTGCCCCCTCTCTCCCTCTCGAGTGCGTGTGTAAACTCCCCATTCTGTGTGAGCACAAAGTGTACATGGCCAGCTCCCAGGGAGTAACTGTGGAGACTCTTTCAGGAAATGAAGGCCGAGCTGGAGCAGTTTGCAGCCCGCCCAGAGCACCGCTCCGCAGACAGCACATTCCTGGTGTTCATGTCTCACGGCATCCTGGACGGGATCTGTGGGACCAAGCACAAGGACAAAGAGCCAGATATCCTTCATGACGACACCATCTTCCAAATTTTCAACAACCGTAAATGCAGGAATCTAAAAGACAAACCGAAGGTCATCATCACACAGGCCTGCCGAGGCCGTGAGTCAGAGCTGGGGGGCCAGGGGGTGGCGTCCACTTTCTTCTGTGATGAGCCTGGCGTCCAGCCTGAGCCTTCCCGGGGCCGAGGGAGAGAACCCACACTGTACAGCCACACTTGGGTCCGCCCGTGAAAGACACGAAGCCTGTATCATTGCAGACAAAGTGTTAATACGCTACAATAATAGCACAAGTCCCGATCATCTCAGACTAGGTTCTTCTAAACTTAAGTGGGCTCTGTGTGGTTCCCAGTCAGTGAGGCCTTTGTTCTAGCAGGAAGATACTTGCATTTTTAATCCATTCCAGATGGAAACGTACTGGAGTAAAGATATAAGGGCTAAAAGATTTTGTGTGTGTGTGTGTGTGTAACACCTTTCGTAAGACAAGGGTGTCTCTCCCAGGAGGCAACGGGGCCGTCTGGGTGACGGATGTGGGAGAAGCGTCTGCATGTCCAGACAACGAGCTGCCGCTGCGCTACATCTTCAGCGATGCCATAGAAAAGACCCATGTGGAGAAGGACTTCATTGCTTTCAAATCTTCCACTCCACGTAAGTGACTTCAGAGAGAAGTTTCTCGATCTCCTGTTAGTATCCAATCTGATCGTGAATATAAGAACAACTCTTCCCTCTTTCCCTTTTAGGCAAAGACGAGATTTAAAATATGGAGATTTTTAAAACTAGAAAGCTAGAAGTCTTGATTTTGGAGGAAACATTCAAAGTAAACCAGAGTTTTATGAGGATCCAGTCTTAAAATAGTCTAAGTAGAAATCAGAGTTGTTTTTGTTTGTTTGTTCAGACAGTAATGGCACAGAAACCCGTTTCAGTCTCATGGGTTGGTCTACCTCATCACCTGCTAGCAATTAAACAAGGCAATCAGTAAAACTGAGGTACTTCACACATTCCAGAACCTCTTGCATTATCATTTAAATCTAATCATAAAAATGGTTAATATTTAAATGCATGACTTCAACATCATGCAGCCAACGACTGAAAATCTTTCTCTGGCAGGAAAGACAAAGTAGGAGATAAAACACAAGGTATGGCAAGCTGATCGTGGTCAAACCTGCAGAAAAACCTATTTAACAGTCACCCACGGTATTGGGGTGATTTGGAGGACCAGAGCCATTTCAGGAATCTAGTTTACAAAGTCACAGTTTTAAGTCCTCTATCGTAGTGATTACAAACTTCGATGTGGACAGAAATCCCTTGCTAATGAGATTACCAGGCAGGGTTCTGATTCAGTGGGTGTGGGAGGGCACTGAGATTGTGCCTTTCTAGAACACCCTGCGGTGCAGCTGGTGCTGCCCGTCCATGGCCACACGTGAGCAGCAAGGGACTGGAGGACCCTCTGAGTGCAGTCTGGGGGAACAAGAAAAAGGCCGTGCAGGGAACAGCTGTTCTGTACCTGGAATAATCATACTTCTCTTTGTTTTACATATTAGAGTTTTAATTAACACTTTATTTGAAAGAAGAGCTCTATACTTTTAACGATTAAAGGAGTTAAAAAGGCACATATGGCCTGATATATATCTAAGAGACTGTTTAACTTACTTAAGGAAACGAAGTCTAACATGTGAAGCTCTTGCGTTCATTTTTGCACATGTCACGATCTGCTGAGATGGAGTGAGCACAGGGCAGAGGATCGCAACTGAGGCAGACGTGGTTACTGAACCTCAGGGAGCGTATGGTTGGGGAAGAGATTAACTCAGGGGGAAATATACACCCCACATGACACAAATAGATACCGACTGTTGACTGCGCTAAGTGCTTTGAGAAAAAATGTGTTGAAAGATGGAGTTAACTATGTCAAGGGCAAGGGAGGGACATTCCAGACAGAAAACGCACAGAGGGCCTGGGAAAGAAAGGAGCCTGGAAAACAGGGCCGGTGTGTCTGGAGCCGGGCGTGAGTGCCGAGAGGGAGGTTGGAGAGGTCGGCAGGGGTCGTGCGATTTGGGGCCTTGTGGCTTCAGGAAGGATTTGGTCTTTTCTGTTAACATACTTTATTAATAATATTAGTTTGTACTAATAGCAATAGGAAGTTTTGGTGAAACTTAAGCAATGAAATGGTAAGATTCTCATTTTTATACAACCACTCTGGGGATTCTGTGGGGAATGGGTTACAGCACAGCAGGCGGAGACACCGAGGAGAGTTAAAATGTTACTGCAGTGTTTCAGGCCACAGGTGGTAACAGAGTCTGGGAGACACAGCTGCTGAATCCAGAAGGAATTAGTATATAAAATGTATAAAACCCGGTGTTTAGAGGATGTGGCAGGTGAGTAGGAAGGGATGACACAGAGGACTCAAGGGACGGTCGTGGTGCACTCATGAAAACGGGACTCGTGCTAGGAAGTGTGAGGGGCCTCTGGCATACTGCAAGATGAAATGGACAGGTTACAACTCTGTGTACTTCAGAAGAGAGATTGGCATTAGGATTCAGGGAGGGACCGGCCCGAGAATTATGTCTAAAAATGGATGGAATTATCCAGGAGCAGAGAACAGACTGAGAAGAGGTCCTGGAGCTGAGGCTCGTGGAATGGTAGAGGTCAAGATGGGAGGAGAAAAGAATCTTCTGCAGGCTGGGCTCAGAAGTTTCTCGTCTATGGATAAGAAAGAAAAGTAAGGGCACGTGTTGTCAGCGTGGCCAAGAAAACATCCGTTGGACTTATGGCCAGGTTTTGACTCGAATGAGAGTGATCAGGTGAAACCCAGTGAGTGAATGACTTGGAGGCCTCGGATGGCCCCGGGGAAGGTGCGCTGGTAGAGTCGGTGTGGTGGGGAGACAGCAGACAGGGGTGGGCGGGCGACCAGACATGAAGAAGGTGAGGAGAGACAGACCGGAGGAACGTACTGGCGAAAAGCAGGAAGGGACGGGAAGGCAGCTGCAGATACAGTGACCGTTACGAGACTATTAGCTTTGTGATGATGGGAGAGATTTGGTCACGTCACAATGGTAACGGACGTTCACGATAAAAAATGGGCAACATATTAGAGTAGGAAACCGTACAGACGAAGAAGAGGTCCGGAATCGAGGAATGGCACGGAAGGAATCAGGTTCTTTTCCACTACTTGCAGTCCAAGGGGAATAACTTAGGCTCTGCCTCAGAACGTGAACGGGGCTGATGAATGAGGGTCCACGATGGCTTTCTCTGGGCCCGCTGTGGAAACCCGAGGTCCCAGCTGTATCCAGACATCCCGTTCTCTCTCCTCCAAGGCACCCAAAGCAAACTGTGTCCAAAAGCTCGGACTCTAAGAGTCTTCCACGTTTACCCAAAGGTCACGTCTCCCAATATTTTAATACCTTTTATTTGCAGATAATGTTTCTTGGAGAATGAACACAGATGGCTCTCTCTTCATTTCCCAGCTTATCCGCTGCTTCAAAATGTATTCTTGTTGTCATCATTTGGAGGAGATTTTCCGAAAGGTAGGGGTCTTCCTGTCTTTTTAATGATGTAACCATGAAACCATTTTCGATCTTTTCGGGGTGTGTGTGTGTGTGTGTGTGTGTGTGTGGAATCCTGAATGCTGTTCTGCCATCTTGACATGGTTATTTAAAGAGGAGGTTTGGGGGAAGTACTGCATGGAACCAGGGTGAGTTTCCCTGACTCTGACAGCCTTGCTTATTCAGAAAATGCCTGAAGATACTCTCATTCATGGATGTACTATATCCAGGGAAAAGCTAACCGTTTCTTCTGTGTATACCACCTGGCCATAGCCTTAAAACATAACACAAACTGTCAGTCCTGAGAGAGAAGTCCAGATTTCCCTTTTCGGAAATCTCTCAAGATCTTCTTCCCTGCCTTAGGTTCAAAATTCATTTGAGACTCCAAATATAATTACCCAGATGCCCACCATTGAGAGACTCTCCATGACACGATATTTCTACCTCCTCCCTGGGAATTAAAACTCATACACAGCATTTCAGGTAAGTATTGCCAAGAAGTGAGCTTGGGAGCCCCCTGCTCAGAGTCTGTGCATCAAATCCAGACAGAATGGAGAATGGTGACAGAGTGTAGCTGCCTAGTACTGAGTCCCGTCCCCATGTTCTTAATGACCCTTGGTGAAACCCTGGTTTATATGAAATTACAAGACATTGTAAGTCAAATGGTGCCCTCTGGTCTTCATGCCTCTCGAGGACCTATCTAGTGAGTGGAAGATCTAGTTCCGAAGCTGGTACAAAACAACTGGATGCTCATATACAGCTGGCGTGTGGCGTCCTCCAGGGAAGTCAGTTTGGCTGAGTCACATTCCTCCTGTGTTGGTGATGGAGCCTGCCTGTACCAGAGTGTCAGCTGGGGGCTGCTGGGTCTGCACCGAGGCCATGAGGCCCTAGTACGGACCTCCCCTTCTGGGCAAGACAGGCCCCTAGTCCTTTTGTGAAGGCACAACTCATGGTAGACATCAATTCTGTTTACACCTTACCTCCTATAGCCCCTTTCCTTATGTTTTCTTCTCTCTACTTTTCCAGGAAAAGTGAGCCATTATGTTCTGGATGAATCTGCTACTTTAAAAGGTGAATGCTTGCTCGTGAATGTTTTTATACCAAACTTCCCAAGTGCCCACCCTCAACCAAGGCCAAGTGAAAAATCATTGTCATATTGTTGCTGAATTAGTACTTAATAAAATTTTTAAAAAAATTATGTGTGTTTTCTCACTTTATTGTAAAGGTAAAACATTTTCATTGCAAAACAAACTTTAAGTATAGAAAAACATTTAAACATATTTAATGAATAAATGGTTACATTAGTAGATGTCCTGGTATTAGGTTAAAATCAAATTCTCTGGATGAAATCTTTTTTGTTATAGAGGATCATTCATGTACTCTCCATTTGAAAGAATACTACTAATATTTAACTTGGAACATTATATTATAGATTGGAATCTCATTTATTTTGACTCATTTCTAACTTGGCCATAGGATATTTTTTTCTTAATGTTTTTTAAAATCTATTTCTGAGAGAGGGAGAGAGAAAGAGAGACAGCGTGAGCAGGGGAGGGTCAGAGAGAGAGGAAGATATAGAATCTGAAATAGGCTCCAGGCTCTGAGCTAGCTGTCAGCACAGAGTCTGACGCAGGGCTCAAGCCCACGAACTGTGAGATCATGACCTGAGCTGAAGTCGGATGCTCAACCAACTGAGCCACCCAGGCGCTGCCCCTGTCCCCCCCCGGGCCATAGGATATTCTTGATAATATTTTTTAATGAACTACAAGTAGTATTTTTTGTGATCCCTAGAATGTGAAAAATCTGAGTTCACTTCCGAGTTCATCTAAAAACATATACAAAGGCCAATGTGAATTTATTCCTTAGTAGTATTTTTTATTATCAAAATGTTGATATTTGAAAACCATTACCCCTATATATACACATCTGTATATTCATTATTTTAACTTTCAAACTATAAAAGAAAGCCAATGTCTATAAGCACGGAGAAAAAATAAAGCTTTATTTTGTTTGAATCTTGAGAACAGGAAGATTATGCAAAAATATCCCTTTAGAATTGAACGTTACAAACAGGGAAGTGAAAATTAAGTGTTCTGCAAGATGATTTATGTTCTCTCCCCTCCATCTTGAGGTCTGGCTCGCTCTCTCTCCACAGACACAGATTCACAGATCCATCTGGAAACCTAACTGTGTACAATATTCTATGACCTGCGCTTGTGTTTATTTAAAATTACCGTCTAGGATTAAAGGGAGATGTGAAGCATCCGTAATACACACAGGGGAAGCTTAAGAGGGTGGGCGAAGGTAATGGAGGGCCGATGGGCGAGTCTCCTTCCTGTCCCTCTTCATTGAGACCTTTAGATTCTGAAGGTCAGGTCTCCGGACATTGGAGCTGCAGCTCTTAAGATCGACAAAAGTGCAGCCCAGGCAGCTAGAAAGAGGAAGAGCCAGCAGAGCAGACTCAGGCCCGCTCCCTTTCAGGAAGTCTTCTCTTCCTATAAGCCAAGAACCACCACTGAGTCACAAAGTAACTCACAGCCACCCAGAAGTTGAGAAATGAAGTGATTATTCCTTAAAAAATGAGCAGTTTCTACTAGGAAAGGGGGAAAAGCAGATATTCGGTCCCTCTGACCTCTGCCAGACACTGCTTTCACATTCGATGGCTGCCTAATACTGGATTTAATGGATGGATCGGAATGTATTTTACTAAGTTTGGTAATTTCCAAGTGTGTATTATCTTATGCAATTTTATAATAAAAATTTCCTCATAAATATATCTTTAAGTTTCTCTCTGCTAATACTACTGGAATAAACTCTCAGAGCTAAAAGGACAGAATCAAAAGTATTAAGATTCAAATTTCCTATGTAGAGTAGTGCTCAAAAACTTGTCTGAATATGTACTTCCCCTGAGCTGAATGGAAGATGGCCCATTTTCCTGTATTTTCATCAGCACAATGCATAATCTATCTCGTTAATTTATCAGGTCCCAGATGACAATTACTCTGATTTTTATTTGTTTGCTCTCTAAACTTGTTAAGCATCTCGTCCCCTGCTTCTACGGCACTGCACGCAAGCTGAATGTTAGTCAGCTGGCGCTTTGTCTTGTCCGCCAGCTCCACACAGGGTCAGCCAGGGACTCACAGGAACGGTCACTGGGCCACCTCTCTGGCTCCAAGCCCAGCCAGGTCTGTGCCTCTCACCTGAAAGGCACGTTCTTACCTCGGAATCTGCTCGACCCTGTGCCTGAACCAATCGCCCCTCTCACCCCGTAACTGCACAACTTACCACTACCCTTTCTGAAGTTTCCGCTAAGTTAATCCCTTAGCAGCGACCTCACTCCTCTAAATGACTCCGCCAGCCTTCTCCTGCCCATGATGCTCCCAACGTCCTCACCCTTCTTAATTATTTTTCCACGGTACTGATTACTTATGACACACCACATAATGTAGCTACTATTTATGTGCTCATCTCATCCCATGAGATTATAAGCACTGTGAGGGCCGTGACTCCGTTTACTTTGTGACGGAATTCACAAAATTAGAGCTGTGCTTGGCACAGCAGACACTCAGGTTTCGACCAGAAGAAGGAATCCATCTAAAAAAACCATGCTGCGGACCCACAGTGATAAAACATACAGTATGTTTCTCCAAAAGGCTTTGCAATACAACCTTTTTCTTTGACGATACAAAACTTAGGCTTTGGCTTAGTTGGGGATTCGGTTTTTTTTGTTGTTTTTTGTTTTTTTTTCATATTTTATCAAACCTACTCATTTTTTTCTAGATTCTTCTTTGGGAACAACTATTATTTGTGTGGTAAAAATTCATAATGCTTTCTTTCCTTAACAAACATCTTTCCTTCCATAAATAGTGTATGATTGTTTTCTCCCTGATTTAATAGCAGCTGCTGGGAGTATCACGGTGAAACAGACAGATATGATTGCTGCACATACAGAGCTTCTGTAAATAGACGTCTAAACCACACTGCTGTCTGAACGCTTGTGTCCCCACAACATTCATATGTTGAAATTTTCCCTTAAAAATGTTTGTTTGTTTATTGTGGGGGGTGGGGGGAGAGAATGAATCAGTCGCAGGGACAGAGGGAGGGAGAGAATCCCAAGCAGGCTGCCTGCTGTCAGTGCAGAGCTCCATGCAGGGCTCAATCTCACCATCTTGGGATCATGACCTGAGGCAAACTCAAGAGTTGGATGCTTAACTGATGGAGCCACCCAGGTGCCCCCATAGGTAGGAATTTTAACGCCCAGTGTGATGGTATGAGAAGGTCCCTGGGAGGTATTTAAAGGCCCTCATGGGTGGGATTAGCGGATGTAAAAGAGCCTCCCGAGAGCTCCCTGGCTCCTTCCTGCACGCAAGGACTCAAGGAGACTTCTGTTGGGCTTTCACCTGAACGTGCTGGCACCCTGATCTCAGACTTCCAAGTACTTTCTGCTATTTAGAAGGCACCCATCTGTGCTATTTTGCTAAAGCAGCCCAAATGGATCAAAACAAACGTCATGTTTTAAAGTGAACTAAGATTCTTAGTCGAGCTCTGTCCCTCCTTCTAGAACCACTGTGGTGATGGCTGGCATTTGGCACACACACACACCTGTCCTGGCCAGAACCTCGCTTTGCACGTTAATTACCTTCTCCTCCTCTACCCAAGCAATCAACCAGTGCTGTCAATTCTACCTCCTCATCTCCAAACCCATCTATTCTCCTCACACCCTCACCAATTCCCATCAAATGACCTGTCCCTGTCATGTAAAACAGTGCGTAGACTCATCCCTGGTCAACCTACATCCACGTGTGTCTTCTTCTGAAAAGCAGGCAGACCTCCATTAGAGAGACGCTGCTCTGAAAGGGCTGTCAGTCATCAGTTTGCCAGGTCCTTCTCTTCTGCAGAACGGGACAAACGCCCGTTCTCACGGTCCCCAGACTCGGTGATGTCCTTATTCCCCTCAGCTCCCCATCCGGAAGCCCATGTCCGCTGAACCACCTGCCCTTTCCTATGTCAGTTTCCATGTGCACGTACATGTTCTATGTGCCTACTCATGTGTAGAACATGCGTAGTATGTATGCATACTCATTGTCCTTTCCTGGACTGACTACATACCGCACTTCCAGAACACCAGCAGCTGTCTAAACCCTGATTACCCCTCATAATAGTACTGTTAACAACAACAATAATAATAATGAACAAACCCAACAATAACAGTGGCAATATGAGCAAGCATGAGAGAAAATATTCATCTGAATGTTTTTACTTATGCTAAGAACTTGGTAAAACATTCTTCTACAAGCTTCCTCACTGAAGATTCAGCTCATATCAAAGAAATTTTCTTTGATAATTTTCTCCCAACAAATGGGCACCCCCCCCCACCATGTTGTCATGTGTTCTGAGAGACAGTGTTTGTTAGACAAGGTCCACGCAAGACAAAAGACATCACTCCACAGGGATAAAGAGATTAAACGTAACACAGCGATTTCTAAGTCTAGTGTTCAAACGCTGAAAACGAAGAAAGGGGGTGTTGAGGGTACATGAAGGCCAAAATGCTGCCGAATCAGGATGTGGACGTCTGAGGAGGAGACTGGTGGAGTAGCCCTTGGTATGGGAAAGCCTGGACATGGGAGTCCCACGACGTAGACTCCAGACCTTTGCAGAAAGGGCCCCCCCGACTGCCTTCAGGGGGTGTGACGAGGTGGGCTCCAGGAGCAGTGGGACAGGCCCGGACCTGAAACCACCTACCTTCTCTGGAGGCAAGGCTCACTGCCGGCAGGAATCCAGAAACAAGTAAATTTTCCTTCTGTACTTATGTTTTCTTATCTCCTTATCTCCTCCTTTGCTCCTTATTGGCAGAACCTCAAAGGAGGGAGGCTGACCTGAGTAAACTGGAGTCTGTAGAATTCCAGCCCGAGTATCACAGAGTACCATGCCTGATGCTGTCCTCCGTAGCCTGTTACATTTATTTTGCTCCTCTCTCTCTTTTTTCAATGTTTCATTTATTTTTGAGAAAGCCAGGGCAGAAGTAAGGAAGGGGCAGAGAGAGGAAGATACAGAATCTGAAGTAGGCCCCAGGCTCTGAGCTGTCAGCACAGAGCCCGACACAGGGCTCAAACTCACAAACCAAGAGATCATGACCTCAGCTGAAGTCAGAAGCCCAACCTACTGGGCCACTGAGCCACCCC